GCAGAAAAAGGAAAAAAAAAACGTCTAACTCCATTAACCTATTATTCCCATCTACTCTAATCAAGCTAAGCAGAAGCCATTGCTCAGGAGTTTTAAGGTTTCTGAAGGATGAGAATCTTAGAAGTGTGCTACATATCAATACACAACCAATGATCTTACTAGCAAGGTGGTATTATACACAATTGGCAGAAAAAGGAAAAAAGAAAAAAAAAAAGAGGCACACAGAATGAAAACCCTTGTCTAAGCTCATTTGCTTAATGGAGCAGCCAGAAGCTAACCTAAAATTTCTGGCAATCAAGTATCTGACTAACAGCAAAGTGCAGCTCTGTCATTGACAGGATTTTAACTTCCATAGAGATACCCCATCATATTTTCAAACTGCTTTTAGCCATCCTGAGGTGTTTGAGCCAGGCTTGTCTCTAACATCCTGGCTCAGGAGGGGGAAAATATGAATGTCTGTTCATGTAATCACAAAGAAAATGCCAACTTGTAAAAATACTGAGACAAGGGAGATGGTAATTTTAGAACATTCAAGAATAGACTACTGAGGTAGACATTAGTAAAGATGGTTGTGGGTTGCCAAGACCCTGAAATACGATGGTTAAAGGTTTTTGGTCAGTTAGAGCTGACTTCAGAGTTTGAGCCTAGTTTTGGAGTTTACAGTCAGGGCTTTGTTTGTTGCATCTGATGATGATGATGATGATGTTTATGTGGAGGGGTTACGATGTCTGCTATGATCAGACAGGGAAGAGAGAAGTAAATGATGAAATTAGATAGCATTTTGCCTTGTATAAAGCTTCCCCCGAGGTAGTGAATGAGATGATGGGGTAAGGACATTGGTTCTTGCAGTAAGAGGTTTCTATTTGAGCAACCAGAGAGAACAATGAAAAATTAGCTTTCAAATATATGCTCTAATGCAAATTCCTGCATGAGTGGCTCTTAGACTGATGTACACCTGCTTTTGTGGATAGGGACAGAAGTGGCGTATGACAGTCTTTTTTAAGAGAAATCTAACCATAAAATCTCGAACTTGATCTAGGAGTTACAGAATCTGGAAACAAAGCTGGTGTCTCAACTTCAATAGCAGAATACAGAAAGGCAATGTATTGAGTAAATGTCATCTAACCAGAGTGTTTTATATTCCTCTGTTTACAGATGGAAAGTCAGGAGGCAAAAAAATCACTATATTTAAAACTTACATCTCCCCCTGGGAAAAAGCAATGGGTATCAGCCCCCAGGACAAAAGTCAGTTCACCACTGACTTACTGTCATATAGTCCCAAAGCTGATTTCCCCCATTACAAGTCTTTTAACCGGTAAGTCTTCTTGGATATTCAATTCAGTTTATTTAGCATGAGAAAACACAAGAACCCTGGCTATAGCCCTCCTGTCTTGTGCAATGTAAATAAGTTTAAGTTGCATGTCATGTTGCTTAGCGGTCTCCTGCAGATGAAATGTTTGGAGGCCTACAATGAGAAGATACGTTAAGAGCCACAGATTTTAATTCAGCTTATGGACAGAAAACCTACGCAGCAGGATAAGAGGACTTTAATCCTATTTCCCTTTCTTTCTCGACCCATTTGACCAGGGAGATTTAGCTTGCCACTGTTTATTACTGCAGCCATTTAAAGTTCAAGAGTTCAGGAAAAATACTTACGATCAGAAGCCATATACTTCACAGTACTTCAGATAAGAATCAGGATCTTCCTGCTGCTTCTGATAAGAACTGAAAGTTTTACAAATATTTCTAGGCAGCAACAATCTTCTGTTAACCTCTCTATATAATTTTGCTACCCACTTCCATAGCCTCAGGACATCAGTACCCAGGACAAACCCAAATCCCACTCATTTCTGCAATAACGCAGCCTCTGCCTCCTACACGTACGGGGTACCGACAGGTGTGAAAGGTGTATGGTTTGATGGAGATTGATGCAACAGGGGTGAAGGAAGTGCACAGGAGCAGGGGGGGTGTGTGGTTTTAAATCTTTTTTAGTACATAGGCAATGGATACGTATATATGCTTGGGAAGGGTTTGTTGGCCGGTCAACTGCAACAGTGGTAACATTTACAATCTCAATAACTTTGATTGTTTATTTTCTAAATCCCGTTGTTTACCTATGCTCTGTTTGCTAACTCCATGTATTCCCCTATGCCAGGACTGCCATGCCTTACGGGGGTTATGAGAAAGCAGCCAAACGGATGACCTTCAAAGTGCCTCAGTTTGATATTTGCCCTTTGCTTCCAGAATCTCTCATGATATATAATCAAAATTTCAGCAACAGACCTTCCTTCAACAGAACCCCAATACCTTGGATGCCTTCAGGAGACTCCTCCGAATACCATACTGAGGTCAATGTGCCAAGGAGTGGTGAAACAGAAGAGCTGTAAATCCCCACTGCCAAGGCCTTCCTTTTTTCTCAGCCCTTTCTATTTGCAAGCTGATAGTAAGGAGCTGAAAAGTGCAACTCTAGTTCTATCGGCCCTTCCTTTCTTTTGCCCTTAGCCCAGCCATGTTCCTAGCAGGTTCGAAACTTATCTTTGCTGTGGTGTTAATCCATATCAGAAACAGTTCGAGGGAAAAGAGCTTTTTATTCACCAGGGCATAAAAGGGCAAGACTAGGAAGTGTTTTTCTGTTTAGCAATGCTAAATGCTGCCTGTCTTCTCCATAATAAATCTGTTTTGTCATATATTAACAAGTAATAAAACACCAAGAGGAAAAAAAGTCTTTGTGTTTTCTCTTTAAAAAATGCTGCTGAATCAATTTGGGGATTAGCAATAACAAAACTTTCAATCTCACAACTAGACTTGGAAGAAAGATCGGGGACTGATGGGGATGGTCATAAGATAGGTATACATCAAGGTGGCTTAGATAAACACTGCAAAACTGATGGTGAAGAATGATGACTTTGAGAAGAAATGATACGGGTAATCATAACAGCATCAGAGAAAAAATAGCAAGTCTGTCAGTGTAACAGGCAGATTAAAGTATTTCACTGTCACCTAAGATTCCCCAGCTCTCCAGAGTATAAAATAGGTGATAGCTTAAGCAGGTTTTTTTTCACACAGAAAGACCAAGAAGGGAATAGGTAGGGAAGGAACAGAGGCACACCCAAGTGGGATGACTTGCCCACAGCTACAGAGCAAGAAAGAAAAAGCTTTAATTACAACAGAAGTAATTTGACTCCCGCTACAGTGCATTACTTACTCAAATACACGGCATCGAAGTCTATTCCATTTCTTGTAACAGTTTTATCAATGCCACACATATAGGAAGAAAGGCAGGCACTGTGGAAAACCAATAAAGAACTTCATTTTTCTACATGAAATACGTTCTGTTTCATGAACATTTGCACTCTGACACATAATATACAAGACTGCTGTTTCACTACCATACCCTAGCTCAGCCTGCATGGAGACTGGTTTGGAATTCTCTGTCCTGGTGCCTTCTTTAGATCAACATTTCCTCTTATAAACAGGGCTAAACAGCTTATTTACAGGGACAGCTTCCACTGAAGTACTTTTAATTTAGGAGTTTTTCCTCCTTGTCCAGAAATCCCTGCAACCATATATTTGATTTTTATTCTGTGTGGATAGTTACAAGGTTGGCTTTATTACACTCCTCTAAAAGGCTGCTGCCAGGGCTGCCCTGAGATCTCTTAAAAATTGTGCTAATAGTAACAAGCTGCAGAAGTAATGAATGAGTAGTTTCCTAACCTTTCTGCTGAAATGGCTAAAGAACATTTATTATATGTCCTGTTAAATGATTAAGAAGTATTCATAACTCAGTTCTGCGATGAAACTTAAAAACATTAAGGCGGTACTTTGATCTTCTGAAGAACATTTCGACAAAAATGAAAAAGGTTGTATTTTTTGACATGTTCCTACAAAGTATTAGAAGTTTGAGTTGAAAACAAATCCTCAGACAAACTTGTTTTGTTTCTTTGGATAAAATGGATCCAGGAATTATTTGAAAAGATATTTCCCACATTGATTTACCTTTTTAATCCCTACATAAATACATGCAAATTTCACTGGTGAAAGACATTTAAATGGGAAATTCTCACATTCTACTAAACTATTAGTTTATTCTGTATTTGATCTCTGTCTGGAGATAAAGTTGCTGTGGGTTTTCCAACATTTTTAATCAATCTAGCTTTTTCAACTGCATTGTAATTAAGGGGGAGGAATTTCTTTTCCAGTTCGAAAAGTATTCTATTACAAGAATCCAGGCTACAAAGAGAACGCCAGAAGTTCAGAAAGACAGAGGAAATTTCAGAAGAAACTAGGTGACACTAAGCAAAATATTTTCCCACCAAATATGCTATTTATTGCCTCCCCTTTTCTGACAGGGATTTTAGACACTTGCAATACAGAACTACAGGATTTTTTAAAGTGAAATACATGATGCTTTCATGGTAGATATGTCAGGAGCAGCAGAAACCAGATAGCTTGGTACCTGGATGTCATGGTCTAATTTCAGTAGCAGGTGTTCCAGATCGTGGGCCAGTTAGACATGTCACGGTGCAGAGAGGGCTGGCTGCTTCGAGGAGGGGTGAGCCCCAGGCAAGCCCGGCACAGGCAGCGCCCTCACCAACCAGCACACAAGCCCACCACATCTGAGCATGGCAGGCAGAGCTGCGTGCTGGTGACAGCGTCCATCAATCATCCCAGACACGGTGGGGGGATGAATCAGTCACGCGGGCCATCCAGGGAGTCTGGTCAGGAGCAAAAGGAGACAGGCAACACTGTGGGTCCAAAGTCCATCTAGGAGACAGGCTAGCTCCAGCGTAGGTCTCAGGTTCACCGAGGAGACAAGAGTGCAGGCCAGCACCCCTACACCATAGCTCAGACAAGGACCTCAGGCCCAGGACTGAGCTTAAATGGGGTTTCTGGGCCAGAAGTGGGGTGAAGGTCCCAGGTGAGGCTGGTCAGGGTAACTAAGGGCTGTTGATGCACACAAGGCAATGATACCAAAATGTTTGGGAATTCCAATATAATCACAACAATCATTTGAGTTCTACTGGGGCATAGAAAAAAAAAGACTAAATAAAATAGTTCCTTAAACATGCAGGGAAAGGTAAGAAATACTGTGCAGAAATAGCACAGTGCTCTCTGGTGGTGTAGCTTCAAAGTTCCCACGTACAAGGAAGGAAGCATCATCCAGCACGTAGGTCAAAGGACTGGGTATATACCCAAAGCCCTCTCTTGTTCATAATGTACTGTTGGACAAGAGTTTTTGACTGTGCGCTCCATTATCCCAAACCCTAAATGGGGATAAAAAGTTGCAATGTGTTTGGAAGTAGTATTGTACCACTGCAAATTATTAATAATATTGCTCTAATTCATACTTGTAAGCTAAGAGGATCCTTCGGTTTTGGTAAATTTGCTTAATGAGGCATATAGCTCTTCTTTTGCCAGTACACTTTCAATCTCAAAACCTGTCAAGCAGGATTTATGTGCTTTTGTTTCTAGTACAAAATGAGAAATACAACACTACATGTTGTAGAACAATTCAGACAACTATTGTCTTGCTGTTTACATAGCTTCAGATACATGCTAGTTTAGTCATTGTTCATAGAAAGTAATGTTAAAAGTGAGAAAAATCAGTAATCCGAATTCTGTCTCAAAAATAATTAATTTCAGTGAGGCTTGCAGCTACTGTAATCAGGGCAGAAGTTTGTCCAAAATGATCAAATATTTAAGGGGACGTAAGTAACTGTTCCTGCTCTTTGTTTTCCTTGGGCTATGACATAGACTTGGGGGAATTGCCTATGTCAGAGAATTATTTATATTGGGAGTGAGAGGATTTTATGAGATTTAATTACAGTGGATTTCCCCCACATACTAGGAGCTACAGAATGGAAACTCAGTCATCTGCTTTTAAGCAGGATCATCGTAGTTAGAGATAAAAAAGAACTAACAAATTATTGAGCCCATCCTCTCATAAAGGCAGGCTACAGTGCCCTCATAGAGGATGTACTGGATATTAAGCTTCTACTCCGTGGAACAGCAGCCAAAAATCCATTTAATAGAGAGGGGCTGGCCCATTAAAAACATATTGGATAGAATTTTGTGACATTCAGATCTTTCATTCAGAACAAAAATTTCTTATATTTTTATTTATTTACAGTGTTATTTTTAGGAATATTATTTTACAGTTTCCAAGCTTTGAAATCTTTCTCTCATGTAAGGCAACTTGTATGATAAAGAATCCAAGCCATACTGAAAATGCATAAAAAATAGTGCCCATGTTTTAATGTAAAGGAAAGGTGTTTAACAAAGACTCAGCAATGCTATCCATAAATACGGACTCATGTGTTGTAAAATCTTGCCTGAAGTCATAGCTGATGGCATAAATATTTGGCAGGTAGTAGCACAGTTGGTATGCTTCTATGTGTTGCGCAGAAAATCTTCCATTTGACTGCAATGTATTCCCTAATCAAAGTGTTTGCATCTCATAATTGTCTCTCTCATGTGAGCAGCTTGCCATACGTGATGATGATATAATTCATACAACTAACATCTGGGAATTACATTTGATGTTGTTATTGACAGAGCATTTAGAGGACATGGCTTTGTCATTAGGCTTAGTGACTCTCTGAAATAAAATTTGGAACGGTTTCAGGCTGTTAGGAGAATATGGGCTTCGTCTTGTTTTGACTTCTTTTTTAATCATACTGTGAATATGTAAAATGTATTCACTTCTCTTATACAAGATGGCAGGCACCAGGCAGCCAAGAGCCTGAACACGATCATTCTGTTATGGAGCAGAGAGGTCTGCATGTGGCCATCCCTCCGTGGGAAGCGCTGACTTGTGGCGCAAGGCTTGAACATTCACTGCACTGAGGGTTTTTTCCTGCCTAGCTTGTCTGCAAGTACATGTTCTCTTCCACAGAAGACTGCCACAGGTGCGATCATCTGGCAAATGCCCCACTTCCAAAGGACCGCCCCTTGGCACAACAAGCTGCTGTTAGCGCTTCTCTGGCAACTTCTGGGGTCCACCGCTGCCCATCAGCAGCACGTATGCTAATTTCTCTTGAATGAGTATTAGGAAAGTTTGCAAGACAGCCTGCTGGCTCACAGCACATGAATACATTTACATGCAATCATCTCATCTATGCCCAAATCCTCAAATTGCAGGTTACAAACTGGTTCAGACAAGTTGCCTATTCTGTCTTGGAGATGTGCCTGACCAGGACCACAGATAATCAAGCACAATTTGCAGACACATGCAGAAGCAAGATTGCACACATTTTGTGGAACCCTACAACTTTTGTGAACTGCTGAGTATGTGGGATTTGAGACACTTAATTATATTCATGTACTAGTAAAAGCCTCTTCAGCTAATGTAATTAATTAGCAGTGCCTTTATGCTGTACCTCTTACTCTATATGTATTTAACACACACTAAGTGTCATCTTCCCTCTGATGATCATCTTCTGCTTGCAGTACAGCTTACATGATGCTTTAATGAGTGCAAGTACTTGCTCAGATATATATCGTGTTAATTAACACATACAGTAAAGGGAAGAGAACTACATAAACCACTCTGAAGCAATGCTTTTAAACACAGCCTAAACTCCAGTCAGCTTAATAAACAAACTCTCAAATATAAACTCCTCCTTTAATTTCCAATTATACCTTTTAGAAACATTATTTATATAAAAACTTTTAATGCACATTTTCCAACCTTTTTGAAGAAAACTTGCAGGCTCT